ATAAATAATGTTCTATGGTTTTAAGTCAAATTTTTATAACGAAAACTGCAAGTCATTGGCTCGCGCTTCTTCTTTCGTTTTGATCATTTACGCCTGTTAATTTCAAAGGCAAAATGCCAAAAGTTTACAGTTACCGTCGCTAGGCAACGACTGCGTAAGCGATAGTAAAGCAGAAACCGAAAGCGGACCTACGCATATTCTGCTTCGCGCTGCGGGCAGATGTACATATGTAATTGATCTCAATAAATTATAAGATGTTGTAAATAATGTAAATGAATTCAAAATTAACTGATAATCAAAAATACAACAATGTAACCGATAGTCCTAAGAAACACATTGTATCGATACGTTTAAGAAAAACGATTAAAAATAAAGGATGGGAGGGTAAAGAACATAGTCGGTTATTACTGTTTTTACAATTCAGATGTGAAAAAACTTACTAGCCGTGTAAAATAGAATATGAAAATACGCTTGAAAAATCAAAAAGAAGAATTAATAAACATTCTGAATAATAAAAAAGTGCTGTTTGATCAAACTGCAACAATTCACCAATTAAGAATGACAGTAAACGAAATTATGAACAAAAAGGTGAAAAACAGTGTGGAAGCGGCCAACACAACGGAGTCTATTAATATGCAAGTCAAAGACTCCGTTAAGAAGCATCTAGAAGCTGACATAGGCAAAAACAGTGACGAGAACGGCATGACGGCACCGGAATGTATCGGTGAATTTCAAGGTGAAGCGTTGCGTGCTACTGATGTAGCGTCAGCCGAAAATATGTCTGCACCGTTAACACAAATATTCTTGGAAGCAGGCGAAGAAAACAACGTATTGGTGGAATGCTGAATATTAACAAGAAATTTTGTATTTGCGTCGTCAGGAAGAGTTGTATGCAGCTAGACTAAGAGTAGCTAAAGAACGCAGTTGACCAAGCTGAGGTTACCAATGTGCATAAAACTTGTAATGTGGACTTGAAAGATGTGGAATCGTTAATTAGGAAAGCACATGAGAAGTTAGGACATATGGGTACTGAAAAATGTGTAAATGATTTTATGAAGTCTTACTGGTTTCCATCCATGCGCAGTAAGGTAGAGAGCTTTATCAGAAACTGCTTGCCGTGTATATAACATTCAGTTCCGAAAACATTACACAATCGTACTTTGCACAGCATATAGATAATCTAGGCCCACTACCAAGTATAACGTCTAAGAGGAAGCACCTCTTAGTGGTTATTGATGCCTTTACAAAGTTCGTCAAGGTGTTTTCAGTGAAGACTACAAGTACTAGAGAAGTGAAGGAGTCTCTTATTAAATATTTCGAATTCTATAGTAGGCCAAAAAAGGTAATCTCGGCCCGCGGTACATGCTTTACTTCATTGGAATTTTCAAATTTCTTAGTTGGACGACAATTATAGCACATCAAGGTTGCCAATGGAGCCCCGCAGGCAAATGGGTAAGTAGAGAGGGTGAATAGAGTGCTCATTCCTATGTTAGGGATACTATCAGGACCAGCGGACCTACGCATATTCAATTGAGTGGAGAGGGTGTTAACATAGAGTCAATACGGAAAGAGGCTGGTAAAAACATTTTGGATTTTCAGTCTAGAAATGAGGAAATTTGAGATCGAAAACATAAACCTCCGAGGATTTATCAAGTGGGAGAATATGTAGCTATTAGGAATATAGATACTACACCAGGAGTAAATAAAAAATTTGCACCGAAATACCGTGGACCTTATAGGATTAACAGAGTATTAGGTAATTACCGTTATGAGGTAATGGATGTGGAGGACTCTCAGTTAACTAAATGATCGAGGCCGATCTGTAGTCAGGTTGGCCGAATGTAAATAATGTAAATAAATTTAAAATTAACTGATAATCAAAAATACAACAATGTAACCGATTGTCTCAAGAAACACATTATATCGATACGTTTAAGAAAAACGATTAATAATAAAGGATGGGACACTTCATTTAGACTGACCGGAGAGTAAAGAACATAGTCGGTTATAACTGTTTTTACAATGTTATTATTTAAATTTTCTGTTAATTGCATTCAAACTTCGATGGAATTATTGATTGTATCGACGGATTCAACCATCGATAGTTTTGATGTACATAGAGCATCCGACACATGCCTATCTCTAGCATCTCAGCTGATCGCATATTTACAGCGACTTACCGTTTTAGTGTTATCTAACAACGCTACAAATGTATTCTGAATAAATCTAAGAGTCATTTACCGGTAAGCCTATTTTTACATTCACAACAATCATATTTGGAATTGAAGACACAAATTAGTGTTGAATTAAAAAATTTAATACATCCTTATATATAGGCGGATAACGCCTGCATGAAAAATTTAAATGTATGTATTTAACATATGTATCATATCATATCATACATCATTTTGGACGTCCTGATTTATAAATCAAAATTAAATGTCCCGCGTCGGACTTTTCGGGGATAACTCGACCGTGCGTACAACGTGCTGAGGAAGCACAGAGTTAAGTCAGGACTGGCAGTTCGCCCGGTGCGTAACGAAGATATGTACATATGTATGTATGTACGTATAACCATACATAGTACCTATTGTACTATATTTGCTATTTGGAAAATGAACTCCTTAAAAAACTTTAGAGAGCGTCGAAAGAAGAATATCATATGGTAAATAAACTTATAATTATAAGCACATTTTACTTAGCCCAGCAAAGACGGGCAAGACCTGCTAGTTTGTACATAATAGTCTAGCTTTGTTTCAAAAGTTATTAGCAAACAAATTCTCTACAGTACAACCCCCCAAACTGCAGCAACAAGTTCGCTCTTCTTCTTCCTCTTTTTGCTTCCGTTAGGGACGCATATAACTTAGTGTCGGAAGTTTACCTGGGTACAGGCTATTTCACTGTCGGGCGTGCTCGACTGTAGCATTTTTAATCAATACTCTAAATGACCATCAACTTCTACAACCATGTTAAAAGCAGTTTTTGGAATTTCGAACTCAAACTTCCAGTTAGTGATTAGAATGCCAAGAATTTCGGAATTTATAAAAAAACACGAAGAATATAGATATATACTTTTGAAGAAGTGATCCATCCAATTTGGTCCCCTTTGTTACGACGTTTGCGGGAGCTGAAAAATGTAACAGGCAGAAGGAGGCGTGGCAGACCCCACAAAGTATATATTCTTGATCAGCATGACGAGACGAGTCGATCTAGCCCTGTCTGTCCGTCTGTCCGTCCGTATGAACACCTGGATCTCAGAGACTATACGAGATAGAGACACCAAATTTTGCACAAAGATGCCTTATGTGTGTATTCTATACCAGTTTGTTTTATTTTTTTGATTTTCCCCCCACTTCTCCCCTATGGGGGTTTTCCCGATTTTCCATTCGTATAATCGCCTATATCTCGGAGATTATAAAACCTAGGAACACCAGATTTTAGACCAAGATGCCTTGTGTGAATACGCAGAAAATGTATATTTTGGAATTTCCCTCCCTCTCCCATGCAAATTGCGATTTTCTCTAACTCCCGTAGTTCTTGGAATTTGGAACTAAAATTTTGCAAGTTAGTTAATATGTGTCTGTATGCCAAGTTTCACTATGATAGACCGATTTAACAAGAAGTTATAGCCATAAATATATTTGCTGCCGCAGCGCTGCTCAAGCGCTGCCCGCGGCTGTTGTTGATGTTGCTGTTTGGTTGACTGCGAAAATGCTTACACAGACACGAATAGATGCGCATAGGCATACATACACTCACACAGACGCAATTGCTATGTAAATGTGCAATTATACACCCTTTACGTGAGTTCGAATACCGAGAAAGGTAAAAATTTTTTTTATTTTCTATAATTATTGTAAACATATGTACAGAGTATTTCAAAGTCGGGACACCCGACTTTAGCTTCTCTACTTGTTTGAATTTCATTTAGTTAATATGTATACTTTAGGAAAATTATCACCATTTCGAATTGAATTGCCATCAAATTTGGAGCTGCTTTGCATTTTAGATCAATTTCACGTAAATACATTCCAGTTTCTTGATATGCTAATATTTTAGCTCCTTCTTTATCAGAAAGGTAACGGAGTTGAGGCATTTCTAATAAAATTATGGTAAATCATAATGTAATCTATTATTCTAAGCCTGAATCAAAGTCAAAACTCACTTATTTACCTTTTGTAATCATAAATCACAAAATTTTGATGAAAATAGCTCTTGAATGCACTGGTACAATAACAAAAACTGATATGATCAGCTCAATTATTTCGTTGTGTAAAGAGAGGCAGCAAACATATTCGATAGAAATAACGGATTTCTGCTTCACATTTTTCTTTTAAGCAACATAATTAGTTGTAAGAAAACTATGCAAAAAAAGAAGTGGAAAACATGATGAATGGTGAAACTGATACGCTTGATAAGGCGACTAGTTTCGCAGACCTTATGTATACAAGTACTTTGTGGGGTCGGAGATGCTTCCTTCTGCATGTTACATACTACTTTGCACAAACCTAATACTTATATAGCAACATTTGTATTGAAATAGGATTTCTGTCAAAAATTGTACAGAAATAAGACGCACTATAAATATGACCAAGTGAATGGAAGTGTTATTCATGCCTGCTTCATAGACAGCAACAGAGAACAGCAGTTGGCAATCAGCAATCTGTTACCAGACGGTCGCTGAAAGTTTTATTTCATTTAATTGCTCACTTGATTGTCTAAATCGAGCGCTTACAAATTGTACTGAGCTGGCTGATGCAGGTGAATGAGTTGACTAAGCAATCAACGATTGGCAGGAAAGCCGCAAAATGCCCGCATACTGCTATTATCAGCCATCGTCACCGCCTCCACAGAAAAAACAGTTGTGTCGGCGTTACTCAGCTCCCGCTGGAGACGTCCCCAGAACTGTGCCTCCAGCAGTGCGTGACAGCAGTCTCCGCTTACTTAGTTCTGCGCACAACGCTGTTCAGTAACGACGTCGGCGCATATCTGCAGCACACATGACTTCCATCAAATGCGAGGAGACGGCAGTGAGGGGAGAGAGCGCCGAGCAGTGCGCTCGGTTTGCGCTGCACGAGCTACTCGCCACGGAGCAACAGTATGTGGAGGATTTGAGTCGCGGACTCGAGCGCTACGGACGCATCTTTGAGGATCAGACTACGCTACCCATTGGACTGCAGGGCAAGCAACAGGTATTGCTGGCCAACGTAGCCCAAATCTCGGCACTGCATCGACATGAGGTGCTGCCACTGATGCTGCAGCATCAGCAACATTTGGAGAAACTTTTCGATCGTTGGCGCGAGCTGCTTGAGCGTGGGCTCTTCTATTGTTACGTGGTGTTTACCGCCAGCCAGAGGGCCAGCTTGCTCCTATACGACACAAACGAGCCCTACTTCAAGGTGGGTATGTGGTTGCCAACGCTACGTAGTGTAGTTCTCTAAGTATAGTCGCCGTTTCTAGCACCTCCAAATTAAACTGGGAGACCCGTTAGGCATACGTAGTTTTCTACTGAAGCCTGTCCAGCGCATCGCAAAGTATCCACTGTTACTTTCCAAGTTCATAGAGGTGAGACAGGCACTTCGACAATCCTAAACTTAACCGAGCTCATTGTGCAGAACTTATAGGCCTTCTACAACAATCGAGAGGTGATCTCCAAGCGACTATTTGAGGTGGCGTGCCGACTGGAGTTCCGACTGCGCGAGCTGCTGGATACGGCCAATCAGTCAGATCTGCTCAATGACATCAATCATTTCAATGCGGTACGTGTGAGCTAAGAGTACATTCAGGGAAGATTATTATTTTACTTGAGCCTCTTCTGCAGTTCAACATTCTCTGCGCCAACAACTTCATTACAGTGGGCGAGTTTCTGGTTAACGATGTAACACTACGACGCAACTATAGCTGCAAACTCTTCGTCTTCAACACGTGCCTCATCCATGCCGAGGTCACTGGCAAGAAGCTGCTCTATCGCGGCAAATTTATCGTGCCCGACGTAAGCTTTAATGCCAAGTCCAGATCATTTGTGTTGTGCAACAAGCAGCGCGAATGCGAATTCTCCTGTAACCCGGGCACCATCCAAAAGTGGGAGGCAATCGTGCGCCAGCTGCTGGAGCGGTATGCGATGGTTACCCGCTGCACGAGCAACAGCGATCCTACAGAGAAGGCAATTTCAAAGGTCGACTACGAATCTGCTGCGACGCTACCTGTGGAACAAACTACGGATGCTGATGCCTGGCTTTTTGTAGAGCAGGATGTTAGTCGCCGCACCACCTGGTACACAGAGAGCTGACTACTTTTCATACACTGTTGTTGTTCTTGTGATATATTATTTATAGCAACACTCATAAAAAACAAGTGGAGAAGTTAAAGTCGGGTGTCCCGACTTTGAAATACTCTGTACATATGTATGTTTAGCATAATTATAGAAATTAAAAAAACTATGAAAACTAAAAAAAGTATAAAAACAAGAGAGAGCGCTACAGTCGAGCAAGCCCGACACCCTGTACTCTCTACAAAAAAGAAGAATAAAAAAAATGTTTAATAAGAATTTACTTAATTAATTTAATAAAATATATTTTATATATCTATATATATAAAACAGTTTGTCTTGACTGACTGACTGACTGATTGACTGATTGACTGACTGACAAATTGGCAATCAACCAACGTTTGTATGAAAAACTATTTTCATCCGATTTACTTCAAACTTTGTTTGTATATTCTCAAAAGGAATACAAAACAAGATAAGAATGCTAAAGTCGAGCAAGCTCAACTCTTAAATACCCTGTACCTCCCACCAAAAAGAAAAAATTAAAAAAAAAAAATTTTTTAAATAATTAAAAAAAAAAATTAATTAAATTATTTTATTTAATTAAAGAGATGTTCATGTACAGTTTCAACAGCATACATTTACATCAGAAACGTATCTCTGCGTATTTATATGCATGTAGGTATGCAGCACAAAGTTGAACCCAAGCATCAACAACAACAACAGCTGCGGGCAGCGCTGCCGGCAGCGCTACAAGCAGAGCATGGGCAGCGATTTTATTTATGGCTATAACTTTCTTCAGAATTAACCTATCATGATGAAACTTGCCATACAGACACATAATCACTAACGGGATGGAGCGACCTAATATAAGTTCGAAGATTCCAAGAACTACGGGAATTATGAAAAAAAAAACGTATTGCGGGGGAGTGGGGGTTGTATCAGAATAAACAAATAAACTTGACCTGCCTAGGGCTTACGGGAATCTAAATGGTTTGCTTATTATAGCTCTAGTACCTTCTGAGATCCTTGCGCTCATACAGACGGACGGACGGACATGGCTATATCGACTCGGCTTGTCATGCTGATCAAGAATATGCATACTTTGTGGGGTCTCCCACCTTCTGTGTGTTACATACAAGCGCACAAAACTAGTATAGCCTTTCACCCTTTGCGTACAGGCTATAAAAAGAAAAATCAAAACAAGTAAAAAAGCTAAAGTCGGGTGTCCCGATTTTAAAATACTCTGTACATATGTTTACAATAATTATAGAAAAAAAACAAGAAAGGAATGCTAAAGTCGAGCAGGCTCAACTCTTAAATACCCTGTACCACCCCACAAAAAAATAAATTAATTTAATTTTATTAATTTAATTAAATTAATTAACTACAATAAATATAAAATATTCCATACATGCATACATACATTTACATTTACATCAGAATAGTGTCTATGCGTGTTTGTGTACTTGTACATATGTATGTATGTGTGCATTGGGCATGGTTATATGGCTATAACTTTCTTTCTGGTCAACCTATCATAATGAAACTTGGTATACGGATATATAATTACTAACTGTTTGTCTACCAAATTTTAGTTTAAAATTCCAAGAATTGCGGGAGTTATAGAAAATCTTGAATAGGGGTGAGTGGGGGGGGGGGGGGGGGGGTGCATCAGGAAAAATAAACAAACTCGTCCTTTCTCGGGCTCAGGAGAATCTGTATACCAAGTTTGGTTATTCTAGCTCTTATACTTTCTGAGATCCTTGCGTTCATACAGACAGACAAACGGACAGACAGACGGACATGGCTATATCGACTCGGCTTGTCATTCTGATCAAGAATATATATACTTTGTGAGGTCTGCCACGTACAGTACAAGAGCTAGTATAACCAAAATTGGTGTCAAGGTTCCTATAAGCCCTAGGCAGAACGAGTTTGTTTATTTTTTCTGATACACCCCCCCACTCCCCCGCAATTCGTATTTTTATACCCTGTACCCAAAGGGTACAAGGGTATATTAGTTTTGTGCGAGTGCACATGGAACACACAGAAGGAGGCTTGGTAGACCCCACAAAGTATATATATTCTTGATCAGCATGACAAGCCGAGTCGATATAGCCATGTCCGTCTGTCCGTCTGACCGTCTGTCTGTCTGTCTGTCCGTCTGTCTGTCTGTATGAACGCAAGGATCTCCGAAAGTATAAGAGCTAGAATAACCAAACTTGGTATACAGATTCTCCTGAGACCGAGAAAGGACGAGTTTGTTCATTTTTTCTGGTCCACCCCCCCACTCCCCCCTATTAACGATTTTCTATAACTCCCGTAATTCTTGGAATTTTGTACTAAAATTTGGTAGTCACATTAGGTTAGTAATTATATATCCGTATACCAAGTTTCATTATGATAGAATGATCGGAAAGAAGGTTATAGCCATATAACCAGGCCCAATGCACACATACATACATATGTACAAGTACACAATCACGCATAAGGCACGATTCTGATGTAAATGTATGTATGCATGCATGGAATATTTTATATTTAATTAGTTAATATTTAGTTAATTAATTAAATTAATTTAGTTAATTAATTTAATTAAATTAATTAATTAATTTAAATACTTTTTTGTGGGGTGGTACAGGGTATTTAAGAGTTGAGCCTGCTCGACTTTAGCATTCCTTTCTTGTTTCTTTTAACTTCCGTAATTCTCGGAATTTAAAAATCAATTTTGGTAGGTACATCCACTTAGTACTAACGTGTCCGTTCATCATGATAGGTCAATTCTGAAGAAAGTTAAAGCCATAAGTAAAATCGCTGCTCATGCGCTGCCTGCAGCTCTGTCGGCAGCGCTGCCCGCAGCTGTTGTTGTTGTTGCTGCTTTTGTTCAACTTTGTGCTGCATACATACACGCATAAAAACACGCATAGGTACATGATGTAAATGTATGCTGTTTAAACTGAACATAAACATGTATTCTAATTTAATTTAATTAATTATTTTAATTAATTAATTCATTCATTTTTTTTAATAATTTAATTTTTTTTAAATGTTTTTTTTTTTAAATTTTTCCTTTTTGTGGAGAGTACAGGCTATTTTACTGTCGGGCTTGCTCGACTGTAGCGTTCTATCTTGTTTAAAACTCGTTTTCCCCCCGTTGGAGCTAGAATTTTTTAAAAGCCTTTCTTAGTGTGCTCCTACACTATGATGTATACTATGAAACGATACTTGAGTCCAAATTTAAATTCACATTTGAGTCTTTTCGTGCCATATTGAGTCAATACGGTCACGCACAAACTCGGAATATGAAACACGGCACTCGTGTCAATGCCGTGCAGCGATGAGCCACGATCAAAAACTACTGGCACCGATACCATCAAAATATCGAAGTTTGAATGCAATAAGCAGAATATTTAAATAATGAAATCGAATTATTTATTGAGATCAATAAGAACAAATCATATACATACATACATACATACATCTATTATTCGGTTTCTGCTTTACTATCGCTTACGCAGTCGTTGCCTAGCGACGGTAACTGTAAACTTTTGGCGTTTTGCCTTTGCAATTAACATTAAATGGTCAAAACGAAAGAAGAAGAGCGAGCCAATGACTTGCAGTTGTTGTTGTTTTTAGAGCATTATTTTTTTTACCATCAAACAACTGTGTTCGATTGCCCAATGTATACATTAATACGAATGTACATACATGCTATATTCATACACAGGCATACATACATACATATGTATGTATCTCTTTACTTTTTCAACCGTACGTAGAGAACCGCACACATAGACACGAACTGTTACTTGTTGTGTGTGTGAGTGTGTGTATGTGATGTCCCCAACTATTTGATATTTGTTGTTGCTGCATAAAGCTATTAATGAAAACCCTAATGCCAAATGCACTAAACAAAGAAAAAATTACTTTCAAAAATGTTATATAATTTTCAATTAATTAACATTTCTTGCTCTGTCAGTGCAAGACGAATGTACATACATACATACATATGTAGATACATATGTACATACATAGATGTGCACATATGTATATATGGACATTCACATATTAGTGTCTCACATTTTGCTTTGGATATTTCAATTGTTTGCACGCAACTACACGAACAGCTGTTTGCATGTGTGTGTATACTTAGTTGTCCCCAACTGTTTGATATTTTGTATTGTTTGTTCTGCCTGCTTTTGTAAAATGCACAAAATCCTTGAATGCTAAGTTGTAGATTTAGTTACGTAGATTACATTACCCAAATTTTAAATTGATCGGACTAAATTTATAACACAAACTTTTCATTTGAAATAGTGAATAAATTTTAAAACCCCAATAATTCAAGCTCAAATTTCGGATTTTTCAAACAAACTTTGGAGCTACTTTTCCCTTCTTAGTGCGCATCTACACCCTGATAGGATACTTGAGCCCAAATTTCAGCTTTCTAGCTCTTACCGTTTGGGCTGTGGGCTGTTGACGCGGTTTCCTTTTGTGCCCCAAGAAAACCCCAATAATTCAAGCTCAAAAAAAAATGTAAAAAACCGAGGATGCAGTTTTGTTTGTATTCTTTAATTGATTTTAGAAGCTAAGTTTTAACTCGATCGGTTGAAAAATGCGGATTTTTCAAACAAACTTTGGAGCTACTTTTCCCCCCTTTAGAGCTCGAATTTTCCAAAATCCCTTCTTAGTGCGCATCTACACCCTGATAGGATACTTGAGCCCAAATTTCAGCTTTCTAGCTCTTACCGTTTGGACTGTGGGCTGTTGACGCGGTTTCCTTTTGTGCCCCAAGAAAACCCCAATAATTCAAGCTAAAAAAGCTGTTGACGCGATTTGCTTACAGTTACCGTCGCTAGGCAACGACTGCGTAAGCGATAGTAAAGCAGAAACCGAATAATAGATGTATGTATGTATGTATGTATGTATGTATGTATGTATATGATTTGTTCTTATTGATCTCAATAAATAATTAGATTTTATTATTTAAATATTCTGCTTATTGCATTCAAACTTCGATATTTTGATGGTATCGGTGGCTTCAACTATCGAAAGTTTTACTCTAGCAAATTGAGATGAGAATTGTCAGTGCTTTTTGATCGTGGCTCATCGCTGCACGGCATTGACACGAGTGCCGTGTTTCATATTCCGAGTTTGTGCGTGACCGTATTGACTCAATATGGCACAAAAGACTCAAATGTGAATTTAAAATTAGAATATACCCTTATAATTATTCCCCTTTTTTGCACATAGTCTATCTTAAAACGTTGCGTTATCTCTATATATAAAACAGTTTGTCCGGACTAATTGGTGATCAACGCACAGCCCAAACGGTAAAAGATGAAATTTGGACTCAAGTATCCTTTCATAGTATCCATCATAGTGTAGGAGCACACTAAGAAAGGCTTTTGGAAAATTCTAGCTCCAAAGGGGGGAAAACGAGCTTTAAAAAATATTAGCTATAGTGGTCATGTTCGTTTAACGAAATTGTTTGGGAAGAACAAAAATGTAACGGACTACTGAACAATTTTTTGTCAAGAACAGAAAATGTTCATTTAAATACTTTAAATGCCTTCCTACCGGTAACTTATAAGGTGAAAACATATGGGTAGGTTATGCACACACAAAATAAATACAATTGGAAACATTATATTGAGCCAGGTTAAGACGGGCAATACCTGCTAGTGTATGTATATATGTGACTCTTTCTCCTGTTTTGTAGGGAACAACTGGAGTCTTTGAAGGAGCTAAGTTCTCCCTGCAGCTGCTTCTGCTACGTTTGCTGCTTATTGAAATTCTGCCTTGTCGCTCATTTTCGGCATTCAAATTCCAGCTTTGCTTGAGTATATGACGTGATGATATCCAACGTTTAATCGTGGATGCGCCGATCGAGACAATAGCTCTTGCCGGCATACAAGCTTCTAACTATTTGGGAATATACATACATTAGCATCCAATTGGTTGCGTGATTGTAGTCACACTTACATTCGTAATAAAATATTCTTCAAAGCAAAAATAATTCAAAATGTAATAGCTAAACGCGGTGAAATGATGTTTGCCAACGTTTTGAATTAAACCCCCTTGAGGATGGCTTCTTAGTAGCACAATTTTCCCACAAAATTTTACACGTGTTCCACTCCTAATTATTAAAAACAAAAATTATTGCAGCTAGATAAAGCACAACTGATCGTATCAATGGTCAGAACAGAAAGAGGTCGAGTGCAGAAAGTATTGGAAGTCATAGCCTATGTTTGAACTATTGACAGCTGTCTGTCAAGCTTAACAGAGCTTTGCGTCAAGTGCAATGTTAATTGGACCTTGATGCATTTACCAAAGTGGTTTGAAACTTCGCTAGTACCACTGTCAAGTTTTGACTTGCTATAATAATAAACAATTGCCTATGTGCATATAGGTTAGGAACCCTGGCTCACTTAGGCCCTACAAATTGGCCCATAGTGATACCGCGTGGTACCGATAAATTTGGGAGGAAGCAAGACCCCAGAAAGCGCTGTCTTGTCCTTAATAGGGCTGGGCAGTCGCAGAAGAGATGGGTTGCAGTTTCCTCCTTTTCTACGCCTCGGCAACTTCTACAGAAGTCGTTATGGTAGAGCCCTAGTCTGGCGGCATGGGTGCCAACCAGCCCGTGCACTGTGATGGCTCCTATTACGGTTGAGCATTGGTTTCTGCTGAGTTTGCAGAGTTCTAATGAGCGTTTTTTTACGAGAGGGCCAGGTTAAACGCGTAATTTTGTGAGAGCCTATATCGTTAGTCCACATTTAATTTGCAACCACTTCCTAATTAAAAGTTTTTATTTTTTATGTGCATGTAGAATAAAATAGTTTGTTTTTTCGTTGGCAAACTTTCACTACAATATCTTATATTCTTTATCAGCGTGACGAGAGAACTCGATCTAGACATGTCCGTCCGTCTTAACCGCATTAACTAGTCCCTAGTCTATACATTTATCGGAGAAACTTATAGCCATAAATAAATTCGTATTATCTGCCCGTAGCTATTGTTGTTGCTGCTTTGGTTCAGCTTTGTTCTGAATACATACAAGTACACGCAAATAAAAACGCAGAGACACTATTCTGAAGTAAATTTATTATATGCATGTGTTGAATATTTAATTTAATGAATTAACTTTTTTACATAATTTTTTTTTAATTTTCCTTTTTTTGTGGAGAGTACAGGGTATTTTACTGTTTAGTTCATTTCTTGAAAACGCCATTCTTGCAAGACGTATCGGTTTCAAGCGTCATTAAAAGAACGTGTTTCTTAATGTAATAAACAACAGTTTTATTCAAATTATTAATAGCAACATTCTTCAACAAATGTTTATGAAGATTTTTTTAAATTCTTGTAAGTATCATTTTCTTTCCAATGTACAATCGCACCGTCGCCATCGCCATCGTTACGGTCCTCATCGGCATACTTTGTCATCGTACCTCCCTCACGACTGCCAAATCCTGAGATCAATTGAAGAATGCTCTGGGCCAACTGCTTCGATTTCAAGTCCTTATTAAGCTCAATGCATAATTTCTCAATTCCTAAAATTCCCTGGAAACAAATATTGCGCTTGCACTCTATATCAATTAGCTCTACACGCATAGACTGTGTTTTAACCTCAAGCTCTTGAACTATTTGATCCAAAGGTGCATTACGTAAGGGCGAATTCTGATTCATTATGCTACTAGCATTAGTTATCGTCTTCAAAAAGGTCTCCTTGGGTTGCATGTTGTTTAAAATTGGATTACGTATATATATAAGTACTGACCTTCTTGTAATCCATTACAGGTGCCCCAAGCTCTCTATAGATGCCGCGAATATGTTTGCGGTGGTTTTTGTCACCCATCGCTCTGCCATTGCGCTCGGCCAGAGCATCGTAGGGGCGCCCTGTATAATTTGCATCAAAAAAGCACTTAAACCACTGCAGAAAAAGCCAGTGGTCCACAAGATATCCCTCAACCAACCGCTGCACTGGCAGCTCGCGATCAACAAGCATTTTTTGGAATGCATCGCCCAATAATCGATAGTTGTGAATGTAATTGCGGGGCAACAGTGTGCCGAACTTAACACGACGCATACTCAGCATCGCCTGGGGAAAGAGCATATCCATCAGTTGACAATAGGCAGCTCCATCGGCAAGTTCTTCGACTTCGGTATAATAAGACATTAGGCGACCATTTAGCCAATCAATAAGCTCAGAACGCGATAGGTTACACTTTCCGCCTCGTACATTTACAGCCATATTTGTTGGTGAGGAATCCGCTAAATAGGAATATATTAATGACTCAAAAGTGGTGGGTACACCAATATATCGATATATTATGTAATGATGTCAACTAATGCCTGAGATATTACTTACTTTCGCAGTTGTTCGCGGCGGGCTTAAAATGATAAAAATTAGAAATAACAATTTTTCAAATTCCAATTGATTTGCTAATACTATGAAGTATTGTGACCGGTTCTAGTTTACTTTCGATTCGAGTGTTGGCATCCGGCCTACTAGCCCATCAAATTTCGCAGTGCAGGGTAGTAGATAAGCGAATTGAAAGAGATTTACTAACTTCGCAGTAAGACTACATCCACATAAAGAACAGGATCAACTCTTAAATCCCTGTACTACCCACTACCCACCCATATACAAGTATATAGTATATATTATTATACTTTGTACTGAAAATGGATCTCAGAAGGATCTCAGAAAATATAAGTGCTAGAATATCCAAACTTGGTATCCAGATTCTCCTAAGTCCGAGAAAGTACGAGTTTGAGTTTTTTCGATGCACCCCTCCACTCCCCCACTATTCGTGTTTTTCCCACAACTCCCGTAATTCTTCGAATTTCGAATTCAAATTTGGTATGCTGGTATGTTAATTTTCATCATGATAGGTCAATTCTGAAGAAAGTTATAGTGATAAATAAAATCGCCGTCCATGCTGTTCTTGTTGTTGCTGCTTTGGTTTAACTTTGTGCTGCATACATACACGCAGAGACGATTCTGATGTAAATGTATGTATGCTGTTGAAACTACACATCGACATGTCTCCACTTTTGTATATATCTATTAAATAATTTGTATTTAATTTAATTTTTTGCCGGAGATGAAAAATGTAACCGGCAGAAGGAGGCGTGGCAGACCCCACAAAGTATATATATTCTTGATCAGCATGACGAGACGAGTCGATCTAGCCCTGTCTGTCCGTCTGTCCGTATGAACACCTAGACACCAAATTTTGCACAAAAATGCGTTGTGTGTACGCTGTGCTTTTTATACCCTGTACCCGTAGGGTAAAAGGGTATATTAGGTTTGTGCAAAGTATGTAAAATACAGAAGGAAGCATCTCCGACCCCATAAAGTATATATATTATTGATCAGCATGACGAGAGAAATCGATCTAGACATGTCCGTCCGTCTGTCCGTCCGTCTGGATGAACGTGAGGATCTCAGAAACTATAAAAGCTTGAACAACCAAAGTTGGCATCCAGATTCTCCTAGGTCCGAGAAAGGTCGAGTTTATTTCATTTTTTGGAATTTTCCCCCCATTAATTTCAAGTTTTATTCTTTCGAATTGTGTTGTTCTGTGATTCTCGTCTTAGCTACTTTGGTGCATTTTGGTACTTTATGTTTATAGTTTACATTTTTATTAGTTTCAATTTTTCGTATAGTAGATTCTAATGATACCCAAAGGGCTATATACAATATGCAACGCGAAACCTTAAGATATTAAAAATATTGAGAAACGCTTGCAAAGAGAAGTTCAAAAGGACCGATTCGAATTATGGTTGTTACTACTTTATGCATTTACTAGCAGGTCTTGCCCGTCTTTGCTGGGCTAAGTAAAATGCGCTTATAATTATAAGTTTATTTACCATATGATATTCTTCTTTCGACGCTCTCTAAAGTTTTTTAAGGAGTGCATTTTCCAAATAGCAAATATAGTACAATAAGTACTATGTATGGTTATACGTACTGTTATGTATGTTATCGAACTAATGAATTATCATCCCTAATTTTATGTATTGAGTATCATCCCTAGCGTCACTTGTACTTTTGCTGCTATGATATAAAGAGCAATTCATTTGAAGTGGGATTAAAAATGAGTATCTCTAACGAGCAATTGAGTGAGATTATAAGTTCACTGGCTGGCGCCTTTCGGGCAGCAGTGCAACAGGGTCAAGATGCAACAACTTCCACGAAAATACCGCAGTTTCCAATGCCAAACTACAAAGGCGGAGAGGATTCTACAGTGGAAGACTACTTCACACGATTCGACTGGGCATTACAACTGAGTAAGGTACCTCCTGTAGAGCACCACAACTACGCACGGGTGCATATGGGGGCAGAATTAAATACAGCGCTACGTATTTTAATAAGTCCAAATCGGCCCGAGTCGCTGCAGTACGGGGAGATTAAGAAAGTGCTAATTGATCAAGAGAACTTCTATTACGATCAGCCGATGTTGTCAAGGAGAACGTCACATCGGAGACGGAACCTACATGCAAACTAGGATTCATGCCAATGCGCAAGAAACCGGAGAACGATATTAAGCAAGACATCAAGTGCTACGGCTGTGGAAGGCAGCATCTTCGTAAAGTCTGCAAATTCAAAAACGAGAAATGCTTTATATGCGGAAAGGTTGGGCATATAAGCAGGGTATGTAAGTCCAATACCAAGCAGATTTCAGATGGTACAGATTCAGATGAGAAGGAGACAATACAGATTGTACGACCGACAAATTCAATTAATTCAGTCAACTCAGCGGGCAGAAAATTGATAATGGTGAACATTGAGGGAGCCCAAACGCCAATGGAGCTAGACACAGGTGCTCCGTGCAGCATTATTAACGAGAAAGCATTTCATAAAATTATGCCTGCGATTTGACTGCACAAGACTGATCGCAAATTTTCTAGCTACACAGGTCATAAGATTGAATGCGTGGGACGTGCAGCCGTTAACGCAACTTATGACAATACGACACGCAAATTGTTCCTGTATGTGGTAAAAGGAGGCTTGGACACGCTCTGTGGGAGAGAGTGGATTTCACAATTTGCAAAAGAGATCAATTTCAATAAACTATTTACGGACAATTCTGCTGCAGGATCCATGGATTTAGAGATATCTTCGTTAAGTGGCAGAGTGGTGAAAACAATTCAAGCTCAAATAACAGGCCTCCCAGAGAGTAAGAAAATACACTCGCAGCAATTACTGACAAAATTCGATTCTATATTTAGCTCATTAGCGGGCACTTTCAAAGGCCCACTAGTCAAAGTTCATCTCAAAGAGGGCGCCAAGCCCATGTTCGCGCGAGCTAGAGAGGTAGCCTTTGCACTTCGCGATGCTTATGCCGAAGAAATTGATGCCAAAATTGCGGCAGGATTCTACAAGAAGGTTGACTATTCAGAATGGGCATCGACGACACACATAGTTACAAAAAAGACAGGCGGTATACGAATCACTGGAAACTACAAGCCTACGGTAAATTCACAGATGATCATCGACGAGCATCCAATTCCAAGAGCAGAAGACATATTTAACCAGATGAAAGGAGCTACAATATTCGCGCATTTAGATGTTACGGATGCTTATTCACATTTACATATAGATGACGATTTCTCACACGTGCTGACGCTAAACACGGTCACGCACGGACTTATTCGATCAACACGCGCAGTGTATGGGGCCGCTAACATACCGGCAATATGGTAAATGGAAAAGCAGCATACTACTCGAATTTCATGCCGAACCTCGCAACATTAGAACGGCCGCTACGAGATGTTCCAAAAGGAGGAAAATTTTATTGGTCTCAACAAATGGAAGCGGCGTACAATGAAATCAAACAAATTCTGATTTCGCCTAAAGTTTTAATACCCTATGATCCATCTCTTCCATTGGTGCTGGCTACAGACGCTAGCAAAACAGGAATTGGCGCAGTGTTGTCACACCAGATAGAGAATAATGAGGAACGTCCAATCGCTTACGCTAGCCGCACTCTGAGCCAGACGGAACAACGATACTCACAGATCGATAAGGGAGCACTTGCGATCGTCTGGGCTGTGCAAAGATTCTTCAAATACGTATATGCAAGAAACTGGACACTTATTACGGACAACAAGCCACTTGCACAAATACTTCAACCTACGAAGTCTCTACCGGTGCTATGCATTTCACGGATGGCGAACTATGCTGATTTTCTGAGCAACTTCAACTTCACCGTAATCACAAAAAGATCGAAAGAGAACGTAAATGCAGACTACTTTTCAAGATTGCCACTCGCAGTAACATGTAACTTCAACAAGATTAGCGCAGAAGAGCTGGACGAATTTGACCAATTCATAGTACGACAAGTTAACCAGCTGCCAGTCACAGCATCAACTATCTCACGAGAAACCAGAAAGGATCAACACTTGGGGAAAATTTTACAAATGCTGGAAAACGGTCAAAACTCGTCCCGAAATGCATATAAATCACCGGAGTGCAGATACGAACACAAATTTGGGTGCATTACATTCGAACATCGAGTGGTAATTCCTCAATTGTTGCAACAACGAATTCTTGATGAACTACATAGCGCCCATCTGGGTGTGGTGAAGATGAAGGGCATCGCACGGTCTTTTGTCTACTGGCCGGGAATCGACAAGGACATCGAAAAAACTGCAGGGACATGCGATATGTGCGCAAAACACGCGGTCAGGCCGCCCAATTGTCCGACCACTAGTGGGAATATCCCAAATCGCCATGGGAGCGCATCCATATTGACAACGCGGGACCATTTGAAGGAGCCATGTTACTGGTAGTTACAGACGCATACTCGAAGTGGCTAGAGGTATTGGTCACAAAAACAGCTACAGCATCCGCAACGATCGCATTGGTGGACGACTTGTTTGCAAGACATGGTGTTCCGTTGGTTGTGGTTCCCGATAATGGAACCAACTTCACTTCAGCGGAATTTAATCAATATTTATCTTCTGTAGGCGTCAAATACCATAAACTAACGGCGCCCTACCATCCCGCAACGAATGGACAAGTGGAACGTTATGTGCAAACGGCTAAAAATGGCCTTAAAGCAATGCAAACGCCGCCCGGCAATCTAAAAAGCAACATAAATGAATTCTTGCGACAATACGGAAACACGCCACACTGCACAACAGGCGAGTCCCCTGTAAAACTATTTCTGGGCCGAAATCTACGCACACGATTGGAGTTGATCAGACCGGAAAGTACACATGAAAAGATGCGAAACAATTCGTGAAATGCAAATCAACATACAGACAATTCCACTGTAATGAGGTAGTGTACTTCTTGTTTGGAAACCCAGGAATGGAAAAGTGGATTCGTGGTAAAGTAACAAGACGGCTTGGTAATCTTCATTATGAGATTCTGCATAACAATATTCGCTTTAAGAGGCACCTAATCCAAATTCGGGGTACGGGTATAAAAG